GAAACCTAGTGCCATCCAGAACTCGATTAACTTTTTTTTCTCTATCACATAGTCTTTTGGAAAGATTGCACAATATGAGAAACACCGCCTCAAGTGTGATGGTAAATCAAAATAACTAAACATTAGGGGGTGGAAAAGACCTTCCTCAGCCTCAGCCTCTTCAAGTTCCCACACTTCACTTTCTAACACACTTTGCCATTCTATTATGCTTGTTTTCTGGAGCATAAGGCCACCTAATGTCTTCAAAGCAAGTGGCAAGCCTTTGCACTTGTTTGCAATTTTCCTACCAATTTTTTCCAAATTTCTACAATCATCATTAGACCTCCCAGAAAATGCTATTTGACTAAACAATGACCAACCTTCTTCTTCAGATAATTGCCCCAGTGTGAACAATATAGAACCCATAGTTCTTGCTACATTCTCCTTGCGGATAGAACAACCCATAGTTCTTGCTACATTCTCCTTGCGGGTTGTCACTAAGATCTTACTTTCTTGGGAGCTATAACTCAACAAGAGTTTCAGTTGATCCCACTTTCCATACTGTTCAGTCCACACATCATCTAGGACAAGTAGGAATTTCTTACCCTCAATTGAGGTTTTAAGGTTTTGCAGTACATCTTTCAATTTATCCATTTTTTCAATAGCATCCATCAATTTATCCATTTTTCCAGCAGTATGATTCAATTTATGCAATTTCTCAATGACATCTTTATCAGCATTACCCATCACAGATTTAACAATATCTTTGGCAATCCTCATCTCATTAAAAGTATCAGAAACACACACCCATATTTTCTGCTCAAAATGAGACTTTACTTCCTCATTATCAAAGGCTAACTTAGCAAGAGTAGTCTTCCCAATCCCTCCAATGCCTACTATGAAAATCATCTGAATTTCTGATCCAATTTCTTCAACTTTACCCTCATTCAGCAACATATTTACTATCCTCTCCTTATCCTCAACCCTACCCTTCACTTCTGCTACATTTACAAAAGGAGTGGTTTCATCTCGTTTTGGTTTTTCACTACTTAATACCTTAAACCCGTACCTTTTTCTCTCATTTGCAATAACATCTAGCCTCTCATTCAAAGCTTGTATCTTGTGTGCAGTTTTGAGAAGCAATTTCCCTCTATTAAAGCAATAGGAAGGAGAGGGGACGAAGGAACATACCTTCGACTTTAGTTCAAGTTCTGACTTCAGAATTGCAGTGCTCCACTCATCCAATGCATTATCAATGTCATAAGAGACGTCCTTGAGCTTGTCCAACCAATCTCGAACACTAGCCTTCCCCTTTTCCAGTTGCTGCCGCTCCGCATCCTCCAAAACAGCTTTGATGGCTCGAAAATTGCTACTGAGCTTGTCCACTTCTCCACGAACATTGATAACTCGTCTCACCTCTTTCTCTATTTCATCTAGAGCAATTGAAGTCAATTTTTCCAACACAGCCGAAACAACTGCATCGGCTGCCATGGTTGAGATGAAAGGAAAAGAGACACAAGTGTGTATGCTTAATTGTTTGGTGGAGTTAAAATGGCTTAGGAGGGGATTATGTTTCTCCAGTTTTATAATGAGATGACAGCTACTGGTAAATTGATTGGCCCCGTTTCTTGCAATTATTGAACCTAGAAAAGAGAAAAAAGAGAGGATACGTGATCACTTTCCTATTGGTTTTTTCCATCTAATCTCATCCTTTTATATTTCATAATTGTGTCATTACCAAAAAAATATGTATATTTAATAATTGTGAAATTTTCTTTCATTACTTCATCTGAATGGTCCCATCCCCATGTGCATTCACATGGCGGTCAAGATTCCATCTAATCTCTTCCTTTTATATTTCATAATTGTGTCGTTACCAAAAAATATGTATATTTAATAATTGTGAAATTTTCTTTCATTACTTTATCTGAATGGTCCCATGCGCATTCACATGGAGAACAAAATTTCAGTAAAATAATTGGATGAAAGTTCCATGTGATTTCGTGAAATTTCAAAAGCATAAAGAAGAAAGAAAAAGGGTAAAGCCCCAGCAATTGTTAATGCTGAAATTACTTAGTAATTAACATCCAAAGTGGAACACCAAGAAACAGAGCATTTCAACAAACTTCAATTCTCTGCATCTCGCTTTTTTCTTTATTTCACTAGTATGAAAGTTTTCCAAGAGTTTGATTTAATTTCACAATCCAAATGTATGTTTGGTTTAGACAGGAATAATTTATTTATGTATTTTTTTTTTGTAAAATTATGAATTCTAGAAATAGGTATTAAGAAATATATTCCTTATAGAGAGGAGCCAAATACATGTCCCTATATCATAGTCTCAAATGTAAGAGGTATCTTAAATAGGATTCTCATATCAACAATAAAGGAAGAAATATGTAGTTTAAATATAAAATAAATTACTCTATTTATTATTATTACAATTAGTTTTAAATTGAAACTTTGCAGATTGCACTATGTGTAGAATCACATAATTTCTAACAATTGTAATATGTTAGTATACTTGTATATAACATTTCCAAATCTCTCTTCCATGGTTAATTGTTTTAAGAGATTAGTATTTATCTCATTTATCTCTTAAACATTAAAAGAAAAAT